AACCTCATCTGGTCTGACTTCATCTGTTTTGACCTCATCTGGTTTAACTTCGTCTAGATTAACCTCATCTGGTCTGACTTCATCTGGATTGTCATCAAGCTTATCTTCATCATCTGCCCGATTGTCTCGATTGCTGTCGCCATCGACAATGGAAACAAAGAATCAGGTGTCGCATGAAACTAAGAAGAAAACTATCAAGGCTCCAAGTCCATCAAAGTTGAAAGCGTACATGGATTATGAAATCCCGGAGTATGATTTTAAAGTTGATGGGGATGACCTGGAAGTGGATATCCCAGAATTCATTGCCCCGGACATGGATGTACAAATGCTGAACTTAGTAAAACCTAGGAAAGAGGTTACCATAGTGAAGGTAAGTTGAGGTGTGACTATAACCACAACTCCCAAGCTGGCTCATAACGGTTTTTGTCTTTAAATAGAAACACGTTTTATTGTCATCAATAATTTAAATTTAAGAAAAAATATATATACTAATGATATGAATCTTAATAATGTTATATTTAAAATTAATACATTTATTTTACTGGAATTAATTTTCTGAAAAGACTTTTTGGGTGTGTTGTATAAAATTTATTTTCACTGATTTTTGTCAAGTTGAATGTAGAATAAATGTATAGGTAAAAATGTATATTCGCTGGATTTTATTTTCACTGAATCATTCCTTCAGCAAAAATAGTGAAAATGAATTCCAAGCAAAAAGAAAGTATTTTACAGTTAGTTAATTGTTACAATAATTTTTCATGACATACAATGGAGGTTATATCCCATAATGCATTGCACATATGTGCAGTATCATACTCACACATGAATTCAACTTAAACTTCTTAATGTCATTATTTCATTACTAACATGTTGTAGTTTATGGAGTTTGAGACAAATTGAAAAAATTACAGTACAGTCTGAGAATAACTTCCAAGCTGGCTGTTTTTTGCATTCTCATAAAAATTTTAATTTTTAATAATGAGAATCATTGTCATTAATAATTTAATTTTATTCTCCTTTGCCTTTACCTGTGTTACTTAATATGAGACATGTTTAGGCAAATTACTTGTCAAAATTTGATATATCTGGTGGCTGGATGGCTGGATTACATCTCATGCCTTCTAATTACCAGAATTGTTTCTTCAAGGCTCTATATCAGATAGTGGTTCTGAGTTTTTATTTGTCGCTTTCTTTGAATCTACCATGTGTGCAATGAATAAAATCCGAATGTAAATTAGAAATGTTGTCATTGTCATCGTAATAGTGGTCAAAATAACTTGAAAAGTTGATATCAGATTCCTTTTATGCATGTATTTGCTTCATCAGACTAGTTTAATTCGCTCAATAATGTTGGCATTCAATTAGTGCATACAAACAGCCAATCAGAGAGAGCCGTTGTAAGTCATCTGACCAGAGCACAATGATGATACTTTTCTAGGTTTTAGATAACTAAACTTACAGGTATTCAATTTTACTTCAATTCAATTTTAAGTCAGTAGGAAAATTTATTCTGATTTTAATTTTCTCTTTCACTGTGAGATTTCATGTTATTCGTAAAATCAAACGTAAAACAGAACGAACAAAAGTCATGGAGTCAAAGCGGCATTAAACAATGTGTGGGATTTGACAAACGTGAAAATATTTTTATATCAATAAGTGTGCTATTCACATTTGACGATTCAATTTTAATAAAGTAAGAGTATATCAATGCCATATTTCCTTCTGAAACATAGGCATTCCAAAATTCAACTTTAAAAAGAAAAAAAATTAAAGTTTTATCTTGCTGTAGACGGTTGGTCCATGTCTTTCACACAATACACACGGTCTCGCAGGGAACAAAAAATCACCTATTACTTCCGGGGGGAGGGGTTAGGGTGCAAGCCTGGATAAATAGTCATATGGTAAATTGTTATATTTTTCAGACATCGTTTGTGAATGCTGTTAGCGCTTCTTTATTGAGCTCTCCTGATTTTCATGATCGCCATGACAACACAAGATTACATCTCATGGAGCTGGCTGATAAAGTGATTATGTATGATCCAGAGTTTATTCTCAAGGTATGCAATAATTATTTAAAAAGATTTACGCATTTTTATTTTTAATGCTTGATGCAAATGTGTGGTACATGTACAAGTACACGGTATGATTGGAAGGCTTCAAAAGATTGAATATGGAAATATGAGAGAAATCAAGTATTTATAAAATGAGGAAAATTTAATTGTGTGATATCCGATGAAGAACACACACAAATTGAAGATGCCATATAAACTACAAGTTGATTGCAAAATTGCAAGATGCAAATCAACCATTTTTTGAAATAACTAATTCATCTCTGACCATTTTGCTAGTGTCCTGCATGAGTTTGCATTTCTCTGTACATGGTTATGAAAGTTGCATGCCCTTATCTTATAAACCCTTGAAATTACTACTACATTATGTTGTTAGTATTGTTAACATTTTTATGTGGTCATCATGATTACTTACTTTCTTAGGATTTTATCATTTCAGGTTGGTCTGTACGCTCGACGCGAGTTAAATATTCGTAGTGTGCCTAACTTTATTTTGGCGTTAGCAAGTAACCGAGGTCAATGTCGGCCATTTATTAAGAAATACTTCAACGCTACAATAAGACTACCATCTGATTGGATAGATGTGGCAGAAATCTACCAGGTGAGGGCGCTATACATGATATATCATGCACATTAACCCATTACCCATGTGCATTATGAACTTCTCAAAATTTATTTGAACAAAAATGTTGTCAGGTGATCGCCTACATTCAGACATTCTGAAAAATCTTTGGAATTTGCATAGATATCCTGTAGTCTGCACATATGCACACATCCGATGCAATTCTCCAAAAACATTAATAAATACCAATAAACTTTTTAACATTCAGAATTTGTTATATTTTCTGACAGACTCTCTGTGATAAGACCATCAACTTTGGTTCATTGCCGTCTGCTTTACGTAAAGCTATGATGATTAAATTTCCAGAATTTGATGCCTACCAGCTAGGTGAGTGTAGATACTGATGAATCTGAGTCTACTAATTACTGATGAATCTGAGTCTACTAATATTACAAATGTTCAACTACAACATTTTGTGTCTGTTGCTATGGTATAAGTGTGGATGTAAAGTCTGATAATACATTGTCCATTTTTGTAGCTGTTGCTAAGTAACATGTTATCAGCAGCCATCTTTCTTTAAGTTTTATTCCATACTTTATGAGATGAATCAATGACTACTAATATTACGATGTTCAATTACACCTTTTTGTGGCTGTTGCTAAGTAACATGTTATCGGCAGCCATCTTTAAATTCTATTCGATACTATGAGAGATGACTACTATATGACTACTAAAATTACGATGTCCAATTACACCATTTTGTGGTCATTTGAATGCCAAGGTCATTTTTTTGTCCTTTTTCACAACTAAAACATGCATGTGGAATAT